GGTTTTTCTACAACAAAATGTTTTTTTCCAAACATGTGTGTTTTTCAATGTTTTGCAATAGCCAAGCAGTTTCTTGCTCCTTGAGAGTAACCTGGTTTGATTCCCGGGGATGCCGTATTTTCTGTTTTTTTTTTTCGTTTTTTTTTTTTTTTTTTACCGTTTAGTCTTTGTTTTTCAGCCCTATTTTCCCTTTTGGCCTGTTTTTCTTTATTCGTACTGCTGACCCTACTGATCATGCACTTGGATCAATGATGTATTTTAAGCTTTAGTGACTAAACTAGTACACCACAGACTTTTCTAATTTACACCCAGCAACCACTGGCGAAATTTAATTTGCCTCTTCTTCATCGTCTTAATAATAACAACATTTTTACCCTAAAATCTCCACTGGGTTTACCCCAAAACAATAGTCAAACGAAGCCTTTTACTGGTGTTTGGGATTTAGTTACAGAATTACAGGTGTATGTCCAGTACAGTATTGAAATGCGGTAAAGCAACAAGATTCAGTGCTCAGTTTCTCACAAATATCCGTCATTTATCTCCTTTCAACGGTACCAGCTAAGCGAACTTTGAAAGGATTGATATGGGGTTCCACTAGCTGAAAATACGCACAATGTAAAGTATAAAAGATCATTTTATGAACCTCCCATTGCTATGTCAACATTCTTTCTTCTTGCTGTGCACTGGCCCTCAAGGGTCTGACCGGTCGGTATGATTGCCCGTAAAATTTGCTAGACGATAGAAAGAAATCTTAAAAATTCATTACACTACTGGACGTTTCATTCCAAAAAAGTACCAAGTCTGTTTTTCTATGACAATAGAGATATTGAAATCTCCAGGTCCAAGAAATCGGAACAGTATTGCCGTGATAAATTCGAATTTTTTTTTTTATATCAGTCTCTTCGATGAACACTTTGTTCGCCATTTTGAAAAACCACCGACGCGAGACGTAACGTCATACTGGCAGGCGGACTGAACCACTGATTTTCTTGAAGACACCATCCCCCCTCCCCCCCTGATCTATGATGAATTTCATGTGCCAGATGTGCTCATTGTGTTACTGTACATGTGAAGACTAAACTCTCAAGGGTACTGATTCAAAGAAGAGCAATCTTATGAATCATCGATGAGCGATTCCCGAAACTATACCCGGCAACTTTATAAGCATATCCACGTTGTGTAGCCCATTTGCTCGACATTTAGTTGCCGCTGTTGCTGCTTATCTCATAAACTTGACTCGACTAAGACAACACTGCTCTTCTAGTTGATTACTTGTATTCACGCGACGATTTTGATTGTTCTGTCATTTACACATGGAACATCGATAAAAGCAAAGCTGTGATTGGAGGAGTCACCGTACCGCAAACGCGGCGCAAACACCTTCCAAAAAGTGGGAGCTGAATTCTAATTGGCTAACCGCGGGAAAGGTATTTGGTTCGATTCTCAGCGGCCGTTTGTGGGGAGGTGCATTGCGTGACGACGTGTGTAGCAACCTGTTGTCTTAGCTTTCAGAGCTTAGTTTTCGCTACTTATGTTTTTTTTTTCCTATGGCTCCCTTCGAAGTCTGTGTCTTAGAGCAGGGAACTACATGTAACTGATAGGTGGTAAAGTGATAGAAGACAAATGAATGGATGGCTGGATGGATGAATAATCTTTCTTTAAAAAAAAAAGCATGGATGCATAAATATTACCATAATAATGAACAAAATCGAAGCGGAAAATAAATAAAAGAACGCTAAACAAAGGAGTACCTTAGAAAAACTGATTAGGTGTTCTCTTTGCTCGAACGCGAGAAAAAGGTCATAAAACTGCGTATATATTTTCTGGAATGATCGTGGACGGAAGGATGAAATAAAGAGATTGACGGACTGCACGGATGGGTAGATTAATACTAAACTTTTTTAGAGCAGTTCAAAGACTGTAGGACATCGCGGTAATGGTGTCTTTAAGACATTTCCTGCATTTTCCAAAGATATGCGTCTCAACCATGCATCACCTCGAGCACTGCCAGTCTTGTATAATTATTTGTTTTTGTTTTGGGACAGAGTTACATTGTTCGTCATCTGCATTTGGAATGATCCCGTGATTCAGCGTTAGTCGTACAAATTCTACTTATACAATTTTCCCCCGTGTTAATAATGTCGTGATCTGTGGTTATAGTTGACATGAACTCATGATGTGGTTTCTTTATTCATACCCACCAAGAAGAGCTCCTGCGTTTATCAATCCACAACCAGACTTGGCAGGAATCGAATATGGGTCGAATTATGAACCAGAATATTTCTATCCAAAGTAAAATTGAGCAAGAGCTGTTTGTAGAAGAGTATAACTGGTTTGTTGTGTGAAGTGAATGACTAAGTTTTTTCCACCTGCTAATCCACCTTCTAAGGGCCTGTTTACATGGAGGTGGGGAACCCCAGGTAGGTGTTGTATCTCGCTTAGGTGGGGTAACCCGACTTTCCATTCAATCTCTCCCTTTAATTTGATCACGTTTACATGCTAGGTGGGGTGACCCGCCGCGGGTTACTTCACCTACCTGGGGTTCCCCACCTTCATGTTAACAAGCCCTAACACTTGAAAAAGCTAGTCCAGATCTCTCTTTTTCCAATCAAAGAAAAAGTACGGTCATTAATGGATGCTGCTTTTCTCGGTCAACCATCTTATCTTTATCCCATCGTAGTACAGATTAGGGGGGTTAATAGTTAGTCCCTTTTGTTTTTTACGCGTTGTTTAAGAGTTAGTCGAGGATGTACCTTACAAGATGATGAAAACATGCATGAGCTCTGACGTCATCCACAATACGTGACGACTGAGATGTTAGATTTGAATAAGTAAGTAAATGGTAATTGAATAAATAATGATTAAAAATTATTAATGAAAAAAANTGAAAAAAAGCGAGTAACAATTTCCTAGAATTTACTACAAATTATAGTAGTAAATTGCTGAACTATTACTCTTTTTGTACTGAACCAGAATTCTCAAAACTAACGGAGAGCGAGACAGGAATTTCAAGAACTAACCTGAACAGTTGTGGCCATTTCCAATGTACCCTGGTTTGCAATTACAGTTGAAGGACCCTTCGGTGTTGGTGCAGGTGGCATTTTCGCTACAGTTGTGAGACTTGTTCAGGCATTCGTCTGAGTCTGAATGATAATTTTAGTAAAAATTAAATTTATTCTGCCTGAACAAACAGGTAGTCAATATAGCCACCAGTATACCATAATTTTTAATTAGTAAAATCCAACTAGTGGTCTGTTATCAATGCTGCGTTCTGATTGATGGAGCTACTACTAGGCTATATGTTATAGCCCACTAGAAGCGAAAAGCGCCGGCTTTGAAAACCAAAACAATGGCGCTTGAATCGCGTTCCGCTGGCTAAAGTTGTTTTGTCTCGATATTTTTGACCACCTATTTGGATTTTACTAAAACAATTATTCCTCTCGCCCTCATGGCCTCTGAGTCAATAGTCCATTCGGCCTTCGGCCTCATGGGCTACTGACTTAGAGCTCATTCGGGCTCGAGGAATAATTCCTAAATATATAGTTTACGGTGAAAACACATTCCATTCCTTGTACTGATTTAAGAACACGACATCAGTCACCTCCCAGTAAGGCGAAAATGTGTTCAATGGATTTTAAAGAACCGAAGAATTGTACATTTACAATTGTATCCATCTCCTATAGGCAGTTTTATCTCGAACGCGAGATAAAACAGCATGCATTTTTTCTGGGATAATCTTGGACGGAAGGATATAATAGGGACTTTAAAATATAAGCAGCGACGTTTTTGAGCGACGCACGTCAACCGGAAGTGAGCCATTTTCCATTTTAAATTGCCTTGACGCCACCAAATTTGTATTACTAAGAGTCTTTACCCTTATAGAGACGATTTGCGCAAAAAAATTGTTTAAAATCACGGCTCAAGAGTGCAAAAGTTTGCATCCAGTTGATGTGCGTCACTCAAAAACGTCGCAGCTTCAACTCACTCATAACCGGATGGACGGACGGACGGATGGATGGGTAGATTAATACCAAACTTTTTTAGGGTATTCCAAATACTATTGGAAATCGCGGTAGTAGTGTCTTTAAGAGACTACCGGCGTTTTCCAAAGGACGTAGATTATTCGCTGATATGAGTCTCAACCAAGCATCACCCGAGCACTGCCAGTTTTGTATTAATTGCTCGTTTTTGTTTTGGTACAGAGATACATTGTTCATGCTGATCTGCATTTTGAAAGATCCAGTGATTCAGCTTTGGTCTACATTTTCGTACATTTTCCGTCCGTGTTAGTAATGTCGTGGTCTGTGGTTATAGTTTATATGAACTGATGTGGTTTCTTTATTCATACCCGCCAGGAAGGGCTTCTGCATAAATCCGTAACCAGACTTATTATGAACCTTAATAATTCTATCGAAAGGAAAATAGTGCAAGAACTGTTTGTAGTATAACTGGTTTGTTGTGTGACTGAGAATGACTTAAGAATTCTTCCACCTTTTAAGCCACCTTCTAAGACTTGAAAAAGCTGTTCCGGATCTCTCTTTTGCCAATTAAAGAAGTAGTACAATCACTACTGTGTGGTTCAATTCAAAGGGGTTTTTAGACGCATAGGAAACCTGGATGCCTCGACATTTTGTTTGTGTATTTTTTTTTTTGGGGGGGGGGAGGGGGGCATCAAAAAGTTTTTAATTGATCGAAGAAAATAGAAAAAAGATTTTGCAGCACCTACCCGAACAGTTGTGGCCATCTCCCATGTGCCCTGGTTTGCAACTACAGTTAAATGAACCTTCGGTGTTAGTACAGTTGCCATTGTCGCTACAGTTGTGAGTGTTGATCTGGCATTCGTCTTCGTCTGAATCACAATGTTAGAATAAGTGAACTTTTAAAGCTTATGCTCCAAAAAACAGGCTATAACAACCAGTACATTAATGTGTTTGTATTTTAAGTACATTCTCTTTCTTGCACTAGATCACACTACGGAAAAGTAATTTACATGTTCCGTTGTTTCTTTGTCATCCTCATCATTGTCATCATCAGCAGTATCGATATTATTATCATTATCCGTTATTATTAATTTATAATCATTGGTAACTAAAATAAAAAGTTAGTTCACAAACGAAATCCAAAGAGCCTCACGCTAACCCCAACATAAAAAATAAGTGAGAAAATCTTTTTATTCGTGATCAGTTGACCGTTGAAAATTAAAGGGATGAGGATCGTACCTCGCACTATAAAAGTTTTTGCTCCAATAAGTAAAATTTGGTGTTTCCCGTATGGTTACATGGTTCTTTTTAATTTTACCTTCACATGTTTTACCGTCACCCTTAAAACCCTCTCTACAAGAACAAAGGTAGGAGCCAAGCGTGTTCTTGCAGTTTGCGTTGATGTCACAAACTAGTGGCATCTTCAAGCACTCATCATCATCTACAAATAGCATAAAACAGCAGACATAATAAATGTGAGTTTTTTCTAAATTCCAGTATGTAATACATATCTGTGTGGACGATTTCTTTCCATAGGTTACTGACAGTACTAATATATGGCAGACTTCATTGTTATCGTATTCTTGCATGCACATGCACTCGATATTCCATTTCCAATAGGATATAGAAGGGACCATCTCGGAGAATTGGGGGAGAGCAATTAAAGTTATGTTTTAGACCATGCTTATACTATTCCGGATAAAGCTTTTTCACACACACGAAAACCATATCGGATAAGGCTTCTGTTGACACATAAGAAAGGTCATTTCAGTGCAATTTCTGTAACTAAGCGAAGTTGCGCCGCAGCGCTTATCTTGAAAGTGGAAGCCTTTCGACCAAACGCTCCACGGAACGATGTTCGATGTTTGTTATCTAGTTAAAGTTCTGTGCCGTTAACAATCCTATTATACCGGATGGCTTTTTCAGTACAGTGTAAACAATTTAGTCTTAAGCATCTTAAAGAGACAGAATACATCATACCGTCTCGTCTCACATAGAACCTCAGCTCATCTGTGACAAAATCGTCAGGTCTCGTTTCCTTGGTCTGGCTGTTTAGCTTGCACACTTTATCCGGAATGTAGTAATTGTAACTCGCACACCTGGGGTCGTTTTCACAGGTGTTCTGGCAATCAACAATCGCTCTCACTGCAAACTCCTTGAAGATGTGACCCTTGAGAGCTTTTCCAGGTATTGATCTCTCTGAAGTTTTACATAACCCGCCTGCAGCCTCACTTCCATGCATCCGGAATATAAGATAAATTGTAAAGAGTGTCAGGGACATCTTGGAGTCAGCGAATTCTGAAACTGTAATTAAAAACCTTTTTATAAAATCAAAATCAGCTTCGCCGCTACTCTATATTCGTGTTTGCAACAGAACGAGGCGGAGAAAGCGCCGTGTTTTTGATGGAGAGTTTGATACAGAGC